ACGCGCTTCATTGCTGTATGTACGAGAGAAGATTGTTCAAATATATTACATGCACATCCGGTACATCGTCCACCTTCTTCTACAGAGCCGTCGGTATAGCACTGATACACATCGTTACCCATACTCTTGAGTTCTTTCAGTGATGCGTTTCAGTGTTAATTGTTTTAATAATGTAGAGTGCACACTATCTTTCTTGGGCGCATTTACAAAATCAACTGATAGATCCCAGTTATCCCATGGAGTAATTGGTTGATTAATCATTAATTGAGTTGGGTACATATTTAATATTTTGATGGAGTTGGCTACCTTGTGGAACCAAAATACATAATCAGATTTCGTTCTTAGGAGAAGTGTGTGTGTAGAGGTGGAGAGCGTCGGGTACAAGACGGGAAGGTCCCCCATCTTGCCTTTGAGCGCTTCCCTTAGTCAGTGGTTGGGCTTGTGTTTAGCCTCCAAGTTTACCCTGATCAACACAGCCTGGCTGATCAGGTAACCTTGGAGGTGTGTGTCAAGGTCTCTCTTGAACACAGTTTGACGTTAGTTGCTAGTTTTCTAAACATTTAGGGACGGTGTTGAAAAGTCGGGACATTTCTGTGGCCCCAGAAACGTATTTATCAGAGAAGAGAATGTGGCTGGTGGTCTTCAAGAGGACTACATTACACATCCTTCCATGCCTCCTGCCTAGTCTAGTTGGGAACTACTTCAACCAGCACATACTTGACCAGTTCACGTAGTACTGTCCACGTGTAGTATGATGTATCTCTGGTCTGCATACCTGGAAATACAATTGGTGTGATTTTAAGCATTCCCAATAATTTTGGTGTTTTATTCAGTTCTGGCAATTTGTCTGCCACATTCCACCCCGAGAGAGCGCTAGTGTCTTGAATGTGTCATTATTGTCCTGTTGTTTGATAGGCTTTTGTTATCTAGCCAGTCATCGTTCTTGTGACTGTAGAGGCTTTAGGCGTAACATTCTACGACGTGATTACGTCCAGATCTTCTAAAGTTTCCTTCCATACAACGGTATGGATTACCTACACTTTATATGAAGAGCTAAAACATACAATACCTAAAGCCACTAGTAATAACAATGGCGCCCCCCCCCCCCCCCGATCAAGCGACGCCCCGAGAAAGCGGTTCAATGTTCTGCCCGTTATCATAATAGTCATTATCACCATAATTGATCATTACGCTCCATGAGAGGGAGATCTTAGGGGAGGGGAGGGGGACATAATTGTATTAGATCCTGTTATAGAGAATACTTTTTTTTATCAATGTTTACCCCTAGACTGGTATTTGAGATTGAGTAATATTTAGTGGCGTATATTCTGGTGACGGTGTTCTTATAGCTTCAAGATTCCCGGATAATTCCACAATTCTAATTTCTTTGAATAAGTAACTAAAATAATTTTGTGTTAATACAAAATCGGCAGTAATATTATCTGCATATTGTATGGGAAGTTAGTAAATGGTGTCAGTATTGCCGACACGGGGAATATACTTTTTTAATTATCAGGGGAAAGCGCCAAGCCATTACGACCTTATACCGCTTGGAAGAGGTCAGGATAAGGATTTGGGATGGGACGGGGGGGGGGGGGGTGGATGGGGAAGGAATAGGGCCCAACCACATGGACGGTCGGGGATTGAACGCCGACCTGCATAAAGCGAGACCGTCGCTCTACCGTCCAGCCCAGGTGACACTGGGAGCAGAAAACCTGCCCAAACGGTGCCCAGGTGTAGTTCAGAGACATCTTCCTGTATGTGGAGAGACGACAGTTGAGAGAATACTGATCCTGAACATTAATATTACCGCCTGTGTGTGTGTGTGTGTGTGTGTGTGTGTGTGTGTGTGTGTGTGTGTGTGTGTGTGTGTGTGTGTGTGTGTGTGTGTGTGTGACCACACTGTGTTTACGAAGCACCACATTGATATGCCTCCCCGGTGACCTCCTTCAGGAACAGGTATCCACTGCGAGGATCAACATAACATTCTCCCTTCCTTGACTAGTAATTCCTTGCATTGCGGAAGCGAAACATTATTGATCTTCCTAATTTCCAAGTGTGCCCTTCGGTACCTTGCAGAGTCACAGTAACGAGGCTGAAGATATGATGACCAAACCATACGTCAGAAAGTGACGAAGCGACGACGTTTCGGTCCGTCGCGCATACGTCAGAAAGTGACGAACCGACGACGTTTCGGTCCGTCGCGCATACGTCAGAAAGTGACGAACCGACGACGTTTCGGTCCGCCGCGCATACGTCAGAAAGTGACGAAGCGACGACGTTTCGGTCCGCCGCGCATACGTCAGAAAGTGACGAAGCGACGACGTTTCGGTCCGTCGCGCATACGTCAGAAAGTGACGAACCGACGACGTTTCGGTCCGCCGCGCATACGTCAGAAAGTGACGAAGCGACGACGTTTCGGTCCGTCGCGCATACGTCAGAAAGTGACGAACCGACGACGTTTCGGTCCGTCGCGCATACGTCAGAAAGTGACGAACCGACGACGTTTCGGTCCGCCGCGCATACGTCAGAAAGTGACGAAGCGACGACGTTTCGGTCCGCCGCGCATACGTCAGAAAGTGACGAAGCGACGACGTTTCGGTCCGTCGCGCATACGTCAGAAAGTGACGAACCGACGACGTTTCGGTCCGCCGCGCATACGTCAGAAAGTGACGAAGCGACGACGTTTCGGTCCGTCGCGCATACGTCAGAAAGTGACGAAGCGACGACGTTTCGGTCCGTCGCACATACGTCAGAAAGTGACGAAGCGACGACGTTTCGGTCCGTCGCGCATACGTCAGAAAGTGACGAAGCGACGACGTTTCGGTCCGTCGCGCATACGTCAGAAAGTGACGAAGCGACGACGTTTCGGTCCGTCGCGAACCATTAACAAGTAACGGGAAGAGAGGCGTAAAGAAGGCAAGAAAGTGAGATGCAAGGTGAGGAGTAAATAAGAGAAAGAACAAGGTCAAAGTAAAATGAAAGGTAAGATCAAGATGAAAAGAAAGAATAAGAAGATAATCAGACGAAAGATAACAAAGAATAAGGGCTCCGGCAAGGGGGGTCCCCCTGCCCCCTTGGACAGCAGACAGAGACATAGACAGTAGATAGATAGATGGATGGATAGGTTGATAGATGAATAGATAGTTGGATAGATAAATGGATGGATCTCTGTTACTCTGTTGACCAGACCACACACTAGAAGTTGAAGGGACGACGACGTTTCGGTCCGTCCTGGACCATTCTCAAGTCGATCCATCGCCTCTGTTACTCTGCCTCGAGGGCCTCATTCCATCTGTACTGGTTTGGGTGTTAATGTTTTGTGGGAAGTTCGAAGTTTTCTCGAATATGAACGGTATTTGACCATTCCTCAGAAAGCGACCCACAACGGTCGACTACAACCAAGTTCCTAATTACTGCTGGGTGAACAGAGGCAACGGGTGCAAGGAGCGCCTAGCTGTCTCGCCCTGCCCAGGATCCGACCCTAGGACGTGCCGATTGTGAGCCGACAGCGTTGACTACTGAGCCACGGGTTGCCCACAGGATAGATATATGGATAGACCGACGAGTAGGTGGATGGATAGATTATGAAAATACATGTGCAGATGGATCGATAGACTGATACATGGATAGGCAGATGGATAGATGGGGTGGTGTGATGTATAGATGGATACATGGATAGATAGATAGGTTGACAGATTAATAAATAGATGGATAGGTATTTGGATAGATGGATAAACAGATGTACAGGTAGATGAATATATAAATGAATGAATAGATGGAGAAATAGGTGGGTATTTGGATAAATAGGTGTATTGACAGATAGACAAATGGGACAGAGACCTGGGGATTGCCGGGTAATTATCTTATCTTACCCCGTCCTCCTAAGGTTCCCCAACGTCAAGAAACAGTCGTACTAAAGTGCCCTTATCCTAACCTACCAGAGGACCCAAAACAGAAAACGGGACAGTATGTCAACTTCGCAAGCCGCTACCATTTTCTAATACGTCAATTGTTGGCCTAAGGTAGAGTATACGTCAAAAATGCGACGCTCTACTAGGAAGACGGGTTGAACCCCATAGTCTGAACTATGAGAGAGAATGTTTTTTTTTAAGTTTTGAGGCCAGATGCTAAGGGCTAGCCTCACCCAAATTGGCAGAGGGAATGGTCTGGGATCTGGGATGAACATAGGGTGGTCCGGGTGGCCAGAATTCCAAAGTGCACAGCGTATCAAGGTCACAGTCAGACCCCCACGACGATTTTTTGCCACTACCCGCCGGCTACACGGCTGAATGTGTTGAAAACAAAGGGTTTCAAACCAATTTTGTCCGTATATTAATATACACCATTGTTCACTGATCTCTGGGAAATTAACAAATTTCCTGCTGTTCATAATTTGGTGGTAGTGGCATAAACTAAATGTTTCAAAGGTCCCCCCTTGCTCAAGCCTGGACCTGTCTCAGTGCTCAGGTAACTGTTGTTGCCCGCACACTGCCACCTTCTCTTACCATTCACCGCACCGCACGCTGCACGCTGTCTTATAACACACACAGGTACACAAACAGACGGAGACAGACAAAGACCCAGCAGAGACACAAAGAGACAGACACATAGAGACCGTAGATAGATTGCACAAATAGATGGATGGATAGATGGGTGTGTATACAATAGATGGTAAGTGGTTTGATAGATAGATTGATGGACACATGGATTGATACATGGATAGATGAATGGATAGATGTATGGATAGATATATGGATAAATAAATTGATAGATAAATGGACAGCTGAGCGACAGACCGACCCGAGAAACGCCGGGTACCTCCCAAGTATACAGTACATATACAGTGTGTATGAACAAATGTCTTACAGTGTGTATGAGTGTGTGTGTGTATGTATGTATGTACACAGACACATATACTTGTAGAGCATGTGGGTGGAAAGGCCTGACACCAGCTCCCTACGGTAGGGTATCCTAACATTAGGGTATATATATTCCAGGTTGCGCGGGCCTGCTACAGCTGCAGGAGGAAGAGGAGGGAGCCAGCGGGTCATGGCGTCTAAATAAGTCACTGGTGAGCAGCAGTGTAGTACAGCGACCTCTCGACACCACCAACTCTCTCCTGGATCTTCAATTCAGCTTCCACCACCAAGGTAAGACTTTCCTCCTCCAAGTACCTGTGTGTTAGGTCCTAGTCTGAATGTTAGGGAAGCACTCATTGTTTCTTTGGATAGAGTATAGTTGGTCTCTGAAGGGAGGTATAGTCTTTGGAGGAAGGTCGGCCGTTGGAGCGAGGGTGGTCTTTGTGGGAACCATCACAAGGTGGGCACAAGATTGGTTGTGGGCTCCCTTAACCTTGTTCAAGTTCTGTGCGCTCTGTGACCCAGTGCTGCACAGTGTGTGGGTTCCTCGCCGGTGCTGCATATTGTGGAGAGATAGCACGGAGTAGAGCTACATGAATTGTTCTGAAGGTGTTCAGCGTTCTGAAGGTGTTCAGCGTTCTGAAGGTGTTCAGCGTTCTGAAGGTGTTCAGCGTTCTGAAGGTGTTCAGCGTTCTTCTCACACCGTTCTGAAGGTGTCACCGTTCTTCTCACACCGTTCTGAAGGTGTCACCGTTCTTCTCACACCGTTCTGAAGGTGTCACCGTTCTTCTCACACCGTTCTGAAGGTGTCACCGTTCTTCTCACACCGTTCTGAAGGTGTCACCGTTCTTCTCACACCGTTCTGAAGATGTCACCGTTCTTCTCACACCGTTCTGAGGTGTCACCGTTCTGAAGGTGTCACCGTTCTTCTCACACCGTTCTGAAGGTGTCACCGTTCTTCTCACACCGTTCTGAAGGTGTCACCGTTCTTCTCACACCGTTCTGAAGGTGTCACCGTTCTTCTCACACCGTTCTGAAGGTGTTCAGCGCTCTTCTCACACCGTTCTGAAGGTGTCACCGTTCTTCTCACACCGTTCTGAAGGTGTTCAGCGCTCTTCTCACACCCTTCTGAAGGTGTCACCGTTCTTCTCACACCGTTCTGAAGGTGTCACCGTTCTTCTCACACCGTTCTGAAGGTGTTCAGCGCTCTTCTCACACCGTTCTGAAGGTGTCACCGTTCTTCTCACATCGTTCTGAAGGTGTCACCGTTCTTCTCACACCGTTCTGAAGGTGTCACCGCTCTTCTCACACCGTTCTGAAGGTGTCACCGTTCTTCTCACACCGTTTTGAAGGTGTCACCGTTCTTCTCACACCGTTCTGAAGGTGTTCAGCGCTCTTCTCACACCGTTCTGAAGGTGTCACCGTTCTTCTCACATCGTTCTGAAGGTGTCACCGTTCTTCTCACACCGTTCTGAAGGTGTCACCGCTCTTCTCACACCGTTCTGAAGGTGTCACCGTTCTTCTCACACCGTTCTGAAGGTGTCACCGTTCTTCTCACACCGTTCTGAAGGTGTTCAGCGCTCTTCTCACACCGTTCTGAAGGTGTCACCGTTCTTCTCACACCGTTCTGAAGGTGTCACCGTTCTTCTCACACCGTTCTGAAGGTGTCACCGCTCTTCTCAACGCGACAACTTTGCACATCCTGCCATGTCTCTTGGTCTCACAAAGAGATATTTCCGTGTGCAGATTTAAGATCAGGATATTTTCTAACATTTTAGAAAATGAGTCTAATATTTTCCACGTGTAAATTATTATGTCTCTCTCTCACCTGCACTGGTACAAATCCTGGTGACATCTTCAAAGGATGATACTGTCCTATAGTCGGTGTCCTTGTCTGTATCCGTCACCAGAATGAAGTAGTGGAACAAGCACAGTACCCTGCGGGTCTGTGCTTTTCACGATGAATGATTTCCATTTTACTTTGTTGACTATTACTCTTTGGATTCTATTTGTTATGATATTAAAGATCCAGCTTCTTACTTTGCCAGTAATTCCCTTTGTGCTCATTTTGTGCCATGCTTGTTAGTGGGTTTGCAAGAATGTAAATATTACTCTAATCATACCAACTTCTTGTACCTTCTTGTAAATAAAATATTATTATTATTATTCGGACTAACACTATGCTCACATTTGTAGAAAGCTTTTGCAAAATCTGTATATATTACATTAGGGTTTTGCTTGTCTTCCACGGCATCTAAGTCCATATCATAATAGTCTAGCAATTCTGAGAGGCAGAAGCGAGGCAAAGTGAAATTGACAACAGTAATTTCATCTATCATCATACTATCATGCAAGAGGCGCCACACATCTATGGTTTATCCAATAAAATCAGCAGACTTCTAGATGTTACTACTGCTCGGCTTAGACTCGGTTACAGGTATCTCTGGGAATTCTCATTATCTGCCGATGTGGACCTGACCAAATGTAAACTGTGTCAACAAAATTATTCGCACACCCTCCGTCACTATGTGATGGAGTGCGAAAAAGATACGTGAATTCAGAGAGAATTCTATAACAAATGTTCTAGAGACGTGTAAATATTTCATTCAAAATTATCTGCTGCCAGAAATCTTAGCCAAATATCCCCAAGTTTGCTTATTAGGTAGTAACTGAGTGATTGTACCCTGTGCATCGCTGCCCACTGGATGG